AAAACTGTTAAGATATAAAGCATAGGTGTTTCTTTCCTGGTGCTAATGTTTGCAACAATATAATCATAATGATTAGTATTGCTATCATCACTCACTAAGTTAAGAAGAGGTTCAGACCCAGCAAAAACGGAGTCTACACTGGATTTCTTGTTTTTGGCTATATCTCTCAGCACCTATTGCTAGAACCCCAGGGTTTTCCAAATCTTTATTTGATAACAGTGAGAAGAGAAGCTTGTCAGATCACTAAGGCCATATGTCTTCAACTTCTTGACAAACACAGGCCACCTCAGGCCTAGATTCCAAGTAGCATTATTGGTAATAATTTGAAAGTTTCAAAGAACTGAAAAGGAAGGTGCAAAAAGACACATAAAACGTCCATGAATGGTTCTTGGAAACTGAACAACTCTTAACTTTTAGTTTTATGTAAGTGAATTGACACTGTTGCTTTACAGTTCACTTGAAACATCCATGAGGTAGTAAAAGATTATGTACAGGGTTAGACCCAATGAACAAAGATCAGTTGTTTCCATGCATTCAAAATGCCACTGACTCACTATGCATCTGCTGCTTCCAGGAAAGTGACCTGCTCACTTCTGCTGAGATACTGTGCAATCATTGGTAAGGTGGAGTTGGGATGATTATTAATTCACTGGCTTCTGCGTAGCTTGCCTCTCAGAAACCAAGGATAATTTTTATATCCATAACTCACATTCAGGGTCCTGAAGGAATAAATTGTTGTTATGTGCTATTGAGTAAGTTTCCACTCATAGTGACCCTTTATAGAGTTTCCAAGGAGCAGTTGGTGGATTTGAACCACTGACATGGTATGGGTAAGAAATGTTTTCATGCATTCATGTTTTTAATTTACAGTGATCGTGTTCAGAGTCTCTACCATGTTAACATAATGTTTCTTCAGGTCTGATCCTCAATATCTCAAGACAAATATGTTTAAGATATTGCAAATATTATCACAACAACAATTTCAGTATTGTTCCATAAAAGACTTACAACTAGTTAATTTCTGTGGCAGTATTGATTAATATCTAGATCCTGTTTCTGAAATTAGAAATATTTAGTTCCTAATGCAAAAGTCCTGGTATGGCGCTGTGGGCTAATGCGTCAGACTCCAGTGTCATTTGAACTGCAAGGTCGGTGGTTCAAGCTCACCAGCTGCTCCTTGGAAACCATATACAGGGTCGCTATGGGTCGGAATCGACTTGACAGCACTTAACAACAACAACGCAAAAGTCCTGATGTGGCTTTGTGGGGTATAAGCACTGGACTGCTAATTGCAAGTTTGCCAGTTCAAAACCACCAGCTGCTCTTTGGAAACCCGTATCTACCGGGTCTTTATGAGTCAGAACTGACTTGCTGGCACATGACAACAATGCAAAAGTACTATAGTAGATAATAAGGTAAATGTGGTAAGGATAGTTGGGCTTTGTATGCTTTGGCTAAGCCGTCTCAGATTCTCCACCCATAGAATAGTTTCATTATTGTTACTGATTAATATAATGACCAGAACTGCTATAGTCATAAGAAAGAAACATAGAGGACATGTTTGCATTAGTGTTTTATATGATTGTTGTTTGTTGTTGTTATGTGCCATCGAGTCGGTTCCGACCCATAGCGACCCTGTACAGGGTTTCCGAGGGTGTAAATCTTTACGGGAGTAGAAAGCCTCATCTTTCTCCCGCGGTGCAGCTGGTAGTTTCGAACCGTTGACCTTAAGGTTCGCAGCCCAATTCGTAACCACTACGCTACCAGAGCTCCTTTATATGATTAGAGTTTAATATTTTAGATTGCTATTCACTTTTAAAAGTTACCATCCATCATCATTAAAGTATATGTGCACACTAAACAAGCAAACAATCCTGGCCATGTTCAGTCACTTATAGAAGAAATTTTATTTCATTTTAATCCCAAATTTCACACTTTTAAAAACATAAGTAAAGCTCTGATTTTTCTATCTGAATTATTTGGGCCCAAGGACAATGCAGTATCTTCTTCTGAGTTCATCAAGTCCAAATCCAGGTGTCCCAGGTATACCTGGATGACTTTGGTCAGAGATTCAACACTTCAGAGTCTCACAGCCAGAGAGGCATAGGTGTATCTGAGAGGGCCTCTGTGCAGCTGATAGTACGTGGAGCAGGGTTTGGAGATGGCATTGAGGTAGGGCAGGCTGCTTTTCTTGGTGAGGACTGAAAATGGTGAGTTCCCAGTAGAAAGCAGAACCCATGTGGAGAGTTGTCAGCTCAGCAGAACTGTCCAGATCATCAGAGCATGTGGTGTTAAAAGAAACAGAATCAGGGAATCTTCTCAGAGCTTTCTGCCCACTGCCCATGTTGCCCTGACTTCAAACTACCCAAACTTTCATGTTTAGAAGATACCTGGGGCCTCCCAGCTCATCTGACCCTTTAGCTACAGATAGCTGCAAAACTACTCCATGTCCATCTGGCCTGGTTTATATTTTCCACGTGTTGCCCTGGCCAATTTCCTCCATCAGTCCTAGATTTAAAGTCATAAATCTAATTGGGGGAGCAAGCACAAAAAAACAAAACCCACATAGTTCAAGTTCATGAATTTGTGTTGGATGCAAGTGAAGGGAGGAAAGTTGATTCAAATCTGGAAAAATTTGATTCACTAAACATTTGATGGACTTACTCAACTAGCACACGGCAAAACACGTGCATTAATCAACAGATGTTCAGTGACTTGAATATCTGCTGTTCACCAAAGAATACTGTTGGTTACAGTAAAATTGAGTTCTACTTTAAGGGGAGAGATTTTGGGACCTGACACTTTTTTGACGTACAGAGTGGGGATATAATAGGCTAACACTGAGGTGTTTTTCAGTGACTCACTTGATGATTACTCCATTCTTGGAAGGGCTGGGTATTATGCAATCAATATACCCTACTCCTCAAATCCCCAGTTTTTTAAAAATTTTTTCCCTCACTTAACAATCTGGGATTTTCTAACATTTTGTCAACCTTCCTAAAGGCATGTTGATTTTTCCACTAGGTTTTCTGGGCATGTCCCAGGGCAACCCATGTTCACCACTCCCAAGAACTTCAGATTCCCCATTGGTGGCAGCTTCAGGAACTCTCTTGGTTTTCCAGGGTAGAATCTGGACTCAGAGCAATTTCCTGACGGCTCCACTGAAAGCAGGCTAGAGGGATTGTGATGCCTGCCTTTCATTCTTACCTTCCTTCATTTTGACGCTCAGAAACAATATGTATGTTTCTTCTTTCAGAGGATACCAATTGTCATCTTTCCCTTGTAGGTTCATATTTTTGTTCATCCAGTAACACATTAAATATGGCCTGGGATTTTGTTTTGTTTTGTTTTGAATTAGCCAGGGTTTAGAAATGGCTCATTGAGGAACTTCTGCAGTAGCCTGTCCTGGAACTCAGCCATCTCATAGCCCAGTTTCCTATGATGCACTGAGGAATCAGGGTGAGGAAGGTGATTTCTGGAAATCACTGTAGTAATGTGAATTGCTGCCAAGGTATCACAGAAAGGCCAACAGGAATTCGCAGGTCATTTATTTCTTTGCATGTTAGCATTTTGTTGGAATTTGTGCTCCAGGAGAATTCAGGTTATGTAACTTCAGCTCTGATTATGTACTATCACTTGAACATGGTATACATGTACAGGAGGAACTCAACAGAACAGAGACGAGGACACAAATGAGAGTGGCAGTTGATGGAATATTTGTGCATCTGCAGATTTTGAAAACTCACTCCTTTTCACCAACTACATAGCCAGCCTGTCAGGTCTTATAGATTTGAGTTCCTGTGTACACCTCAAATATATCCTCTTCAACTATCTCCACTGTCACTTTTTCAGTCCAAGCCACCATCATGTCTCATGTTTTAATGCAGCATCTCACATCCATTCATACTCCCTAAACCATTCTTTACAGAACAGCTAAGGCAACCTTCTTCAAACAAAATGCAGTGCTGTCATTCTGTAAAACTCTGCAACAGTTTCTGACTTCAGTTAGAATGTAAATTATACAATCCTTAGTGTGCATACTTCTTAAACCTTACCTCAAGCAGCTGTCCTCTTTGATCACACTGCGCTAGCCACAATGATCTTTTGGCACTAAAATTGATCAGATCTCCCTCCCAACCCACCCCAACTTAGGACTTTCATTTATGCCTCTCTCATTGTCTAGGATATTGATTCTAAGCAAAGAATTACCCAAATCATCTGGATTCTGTGTTTAAGCATAGATTGTTAGGCCCCATCCCCAGTTTCTGATTCAGGAGACCTGAGGTGGGGCCTGAGGATTAACATTGCTAACCATTTCCAGAAAATGTCTGATGCAACTGATCTGGCGACCCCACTTGGAGAACTGCTAGCTTAGAATATTCTTTGCTTTGTCCTAAAACACCTCTTCTAATTCCTCCAGACTTGCTGGAACTCCTGTGTTAAACATTCACATTGCATGTTATACTTCCCCTCTGAAACCCTTACTGAAATTGTATGACTGGTTAAGTATAAAGATAGTTGTTTAATGACTAGAATCCCCTGCAAGAATAAGATACCCAGCTCTATGATGTAGGGATCATTTCTGTCTTGTTCACACTGTTCCGCTCATTTCTTGTATATAACAAGTACTAAATATTTATTTGTTGAATTCATGTACATTGACATTTCCTTTTTATAGATAATTGGAAGTACCTAGTAACACGGACACTCTGAGTGTGAAAAATAAGCAGGGGCTGTGGGTAAACAAGCCAAGCTATAAAAAAAAGAAAGTATATTTCATTTGGCGTTGATGTTGGGCATTGTAGGAAAGAGGCAGGGCTTTTTTCAGGGCCCTAGTACATTGTGGAAATCCTGTTCTTCAAAATTTATCTGCTTTGGTGAGGTGGTTAGCATGGTTGTTTCTCAGTTTGCCTTCTTCAACCCTTCCATTACCTATTGTGTTTGATGAGTAGTTAATTACTTACTTACTCTTTGTTATTCATTTTCTGTTTTTCTTATAGATATGGAATGTGCAGATGTCCCACTGTTAACTCCAAGCAGCAAAGAAATGATGTCTCAAGCATTGAAAGCTACTTTTAATGGTTTCACTAAAGAGCAACAAAGACTGGGAATTCCAAAAGGTATGCTTTCGTAGTTGGAAACAGAGAGGCTGCAGTCAGACCCTAGGGGAAAGTCTGTCTTCTCACCCAGAGTTTAGGTAGTCATCATTAGCTGTCACACTTCAGTCAGTAGTTACAGATTGTTGTAGGCATCTGTGAGAACAGTCATAGAAATACATGCCAATTCTCCTCCATGTCCTTTGCTGATCAGTGCCATCTTGGTTCCCAACTTGTCTGCACATTCGAATCACATCGTGGTCTTTAAAAATTTCATAACCTAACCCAATCCCTAATCCATTAAAACACAACTCCGGTGGCCTGTGGGTAGCTTTCTTTTCAAGCTCCTTAAGTAATTCCAAGTTTGAGAAATAAGTTTAGGGGACACTGCCTAAGCATCAATTTGGGCTCCCAGAACTTGAATTTATTCCAGTGACTTAACATTTCATGAAATGTATTGATGTTTCTTTTCTAGTCCATATTCTCTGGTTTTTGTTTGTGTGTTTGTATCTGCAAGACTTTACTCAGGAATGTAAGGAAACTAGAATTGTCAGAAAGGAGAAATGACTAGCAGATACTTTACCACCAAGGAACACTTTCGGAACGAAAAAGAGCAGTTATCTATTAAGTGGGAGTAATACTGCCTTCAGATCTGGCCAGTTCTACAGCTAGATGGGGAGTTTACAGCCTGGTCGGAACAAAACCTTAGTGAGATACTGTGAGTGTGTCTGTACATATTTTTCCATGTATACTACTTGACCGCAAACCTCAGCTGACAGCAATAGCAAATATCCTTTGAGGATCACAAGAAATAATAGAGTGAATTTTGACCACTGGAATCTGTCATATCTCCTACAGCAGTCTGCCAGATTGAAGGGGATAACTTGGGGGGCAGGTGTGATGTGGGTATCACAACCTGCTACCATGCCAAACTCTTTATGTGTCATGGGTTGTTGAAGCCATGTGAAATCTGTGACTATGCATGCAGACTGTCCATTATTCCACAGTGCTACTCCAATCAGGACCTGCAGTTTTTATATACATTGCAGGGTGTCTGGAATAATACAGGCATCTAATAACATTATTATTACATTATTTGAATGACTTAAGATTACTAATTGCTAGGGTTATTACTAAACACGAGTGGCTAAAATAAGAGTAATTAAGAATAATTGTCTTAAGTATAATAGTTAAGAGCAGGGAATGCAGGGTGAAATCTCTCGAACACACTTTCCTTTGTTATTAGAGCTATTAGAAAAATCATTTGTTTCCCTGTCCAAGGCTTTAAAAGTCTATGTAAGCCTAATGGGAATAAATCTGAGAGAGAGACTATTCATGGGAATCTGAATGGAGGAGGATACAGAGTACTTGTGTGTTACTTTTTTGGTTCGAAATAGTGCGCTCTTAGCTGGCAAAATAGGGTAAGCAGGTTATGGAAAGTGTCCAGTGGCATTTATGGCCACACTGGTGTTTCCTAATTTCTATGAGCAGGATCCCATCCTCGGCTATGCTCAGGCTTCATTGGGTCTGCTTACACAAGAGTTCAGAACTGACTGCTGAATCTTCATTTGATCTCTCCCCACAGACCCCCGGCAGTGGACAGAAACCCATGTTGGAGACTGGGTAATGTGGGCTGTGAATGAGTTCAGCCTGAAGGGTGTGGACTTTCAGAAGTTCTGTATGAATGGAGCAGCTCTCTGTGCCCTGGGGAAAGACTGCTTTCTTGAGCTGGCCCCAGACTTTGTTGGGGACATCTTATGGGAACATCTAGAAATCCTCCAGAAAGGTAAATGTGTGCGAACAAGGTGAGGTGGGGGTGGGTAAGTTGGATGACTGTTAAAGTAGGTTGGTGAACGTACCAGTAGTGGGACATTGATGTCATAATCTGGGTTGTCCTTTCCCACCGTACGGAAAAGTACTTAATACAGTGCCTGGCATATAGTATGTGCTCAAGAAATGTTAGTTTCGTTTTCTGCTTTGTGCTGGTGGTTCAGGGTTTTAAAACTGTGGCATCAACCATCGTTCCCACAGCACTGTCTACTTTTCATCTGGGTTTAATAATCCATTGCACCGGCCACACAGAACTCAGAGACAATATTCACAGTTATGGGGTTTGTTAGGGAAATTAACAGGTTGTAGTACAGGATCACAAAATACTCATGATAAATGCCTACAGGACACAGCACTCTATCATAAGCCTCAATCGGAAGCCACTCAGCTTCCCCCGCTGTAGGCATCCCACTCTAAAATCAAGCTTCCCAAAGTCACTCAGCTTTATTTGCTCCATGAGCTGGGAGGCCCACTTCTCTGTCTCGTGCTCTGGTTCTTGGTTCTGCTGCTGCTGCTCCTCTGACACTCCTCCAGTGTCACAGCTCTCTGTCCCTGGGCCAAGGAGGTTTAGTGCACAGATGGCTTAGGGTCCAAAGGATGTGCTCCACTCTTGACTCTTCTTTGAAGGTAGAGAGTTTCCTCCTGAAATGATTCATTTAATGCCCCTTCTAGAGTTTCAGGTTTTTACAATTGCAGTTAACTCTGCTAATATCATACTTGAAGCATGTCATCGACTCCCACCTTCTCTTGTCCAGACACAACAGGGCAGAAATGTTATTTAGTGGGGGTTACAGACAGTGGCTGTAAGAGACATTAGATAATTGACTACACCACAAGGACCATACTGTGATTTTAAATCTTTAGCAAGATTGGACTCCTGAACCTTCTTGGTACACAAAGTGTTATGGTCCCAGTCCTTATTTCAGACCCATGCACTGCTTGAACAGCGGTACCCATAACCAAACCCCTAAGATGACTTGCTTCTCTGACAGTCTTAGTACATACACTGTATTTAATCTGTAGTATCACATCTGGCCATATCTACAAGAAGGCTCAGCCTCTCCAAGCTTACAGATAAGACAGGCTTCATAACCCACTCACTGGTTTGGAAGTGCAGGAATCCAGTGCCCCATTTACATCTGTAGCAGAAATGATGGGGTTATGTCAGGACACCGTGTTGCAACCTTGCAATGACATGGACTCCTCTACCAGCCTCTTCCAACCTTTTTGAACCAAGTGACTCATGTACCACAACCCTGGCTGAAGACAGAAACAGCAGCAGGCGGCAAACTTGGGTGTTTTTGCTCTTATTTTTTCTGAATTTCTTCTTAAAATAAATTGTAGTTACCAGCAGTCAGCAGTGCCCTCCAGCTGACTGTAAGCCTAGAAGCCTGCTGCCCTCTCTCACCCAGGCCCACCCCTTCCCTGTGGTCACCAGCTCCAGCCCTTGGCCCAGACACTGGGGGAAGGGAGCAAAGCTCAGGATTAGCACTTTTATTCCATATAATACCTTCTTTTGTTTAAGATATTTTCCACTCTGCAGTGCTCAAGAGGGACCCAAATTAGATTCGTCTGGGCACTGGAGTGTTATCTGTGTTCCTTCTCTTCTGCTTCTGTGCAAAAATAAGCAAATAAACACAAAGAAGGCCTAGGTAAAGCTGTTTGTGATTATGGTTGTAAAGAACTGGTGGATGAGCTGCTGTGTAGACTCCCCAAAGCCCTGACATGTTCTCTATGGAACTGCACCTACATCCATTCACTAATGTTGACACCAGCGCCTGTTTCTAGAGGGAAGAGACACAGCACACTTATAAGCTCTCTGATCTAACAGTTGATTTATAAACACAGCAGCAGATTCCACTAGGCTACGTAATTCAAATATATTCTGCTAATGTCCTGTTTGCCCCTCTGTCAAAATGGAGCTCCCATGTATTCTGGAGTGCTGAAGTCTGTCTCTAATCATATTGCTATTGTTAGGTGCCTTTGAGTCAGTTCCAACACATAGCAGCAACCCTGTATACAACAGAGCAAAATACTACCCAGTCCTGCACCATCCTGATTGTTGTTATGTTTGAGCCCATTGTTGCTGCCACTGTGTCAATCCATTGAATTGAGGGTCTTCCTCAATATCCTTCTGGAGGGACCGGGCCTTTCTGACAAAATGTCCAAAGTACAAGAGATGAAGTTTCACCATTTTTGCTTCTCAGGAGCATTCTGTCTGTACTTCTAAGATAGATTTGCTCTTCTAGCAGTCATGATGCTTTTAATTTTCTTTGCCAACACCGTAATTCAATACATTGATTATTCTATGATCTTGCTCTTCCTTTATTCATTGTCCAACTTTCATATGCATATGAGACAATTAAAAATATTATGGATTGGGTTAGACACACCTTAGTTCTTAAAGTGACATCTTTGCTCTTTAACCCTTTAATAGTAGGTCTTTTGCTGCAGATTTGCCTAATACATCTTTTGATATCTTGACTGCTGCTTCTAAGAGTGCTGATTGTGGAGCCAAGAAAAATTAAATCTCTAATCAGTACCTCCTTAACATGTCCTTATTTCCCAAGTGTTTGAAAATACATTTTCTCTTTTAATTCTCAAAACAACCTTTGTGTTAGGAAGGGCAAGTTCTCTAATTGTCCTCATCTGTAAAATGAGGCTCAGGTTAGGTGATTTCCTCAAGATCACTCATTTCCTTAAACTTTGGGCTTCTTTTTTACTGCTTCCTGCCCTGTGTTCCTTGTAAAATAGTATGGACCCCTAGGATGCCTTTGGATCCGTAAGTGCAGCTTAGCCTACCTGACTACAAAGGAATAATTTTGAGGTGAACTGAGGTTTGACAGCAAAAGTCCTATTCTTCCCCCCACCCTAGTCTTCTATTAAGCGAGAAAGAGAAAGAATCAACCCTGTCTCTTCAGATCTTTCAAAGACTGAGCAATGTGTTTGCACTTAGGTTATGGCTTTTGTTCTGAAACTGAGCTAGAACAGCGAGCACTAAAAGAACATAGCTGCTTGGGGTGGGGTGGAAGGCCAAAGGTACAGGGGATGTTTCAATCTGATAAGCTGTTAAAGCAAAATTTAATCATTTTATCTCAACTGGAAACTGTTTTTCTGTACAAGCATCAACTTGTTTTCTTTGCAGTCTGTGCTCCCAACAAGCTATCAAATACCTGGGGGAAAAAGCCCAAACCAACATTATTTTTTTATGTATGATTCATATAATAAAATACAATCAGGCTACTCCATACGGGAATCAGAGGGCACACCATTTGATTACAGACTAATCAGAGCATACTGAAAGGTTTCTATAGCTCAGTGAAGAGTCTTTCCATCCTAGTGAGCCAGCACGGACATTTAATTTCCAGGGAAGCTGGTACCTGGGCAGCAATTTAGTTACATTGCTTTTCCTCCCTGTACCTGGCAGTCATATTTCATCAAATGGAGTCACCTACCCAGTGTCCTGCTTCTTGTCTGAGCCTGAACTTGAAATCTGAGTGCAATTTAAAAAACACAATAAACCAACATTTGTTAGAAGAAAAGGATGTCTAAAGACATCTGTCTAAAGACTACAATATATTTCTGAAAAGTTTTTGGAATTGATGAGTTGAAGATTGGGGAGTGATCTTGGTTATACTCAAGATACCGTCCAACCTTTGATTGTGATGTGGTTCACATACTTGCAGCACAGATTCACCTAGAAGGAGGAGTTGAATGCCTTCCCAGGGCTTAGAAATCACTCACTGATCCTCTTCTCCAAGACACGAAATCCCATTTTGTATCTACTAAGACCATGGAGTCCTGGTGTGGCGCTGTAGGATAAGCATTGACCTGCAAGGTCAGTTTAAACTGCAAGGTCAGTGGTTCAAACTCACTAGCTATTCCTCAGAAACCCTTTACAGGGACACTGCGAGTTGGAACTGACTCAATGGCACTTAACAGCAACAATAACAAGACCATATGCTTAGCCATACTTTTTGTGATCTCACCCTTAGACAAGGTGTCAGTCAGGACAGACTCACCAAGAGCATGTAGCCTTCTTTCTTAGAAGAGAAGCTGAGATCGCTGCACTCCTCACATCTGAGATTCTTGTAAGCCAAGTATTACTTGTGTGTTGACTTTTTTTGTTTCATTCCCTGCCCTGTCTGTTGCAGAGGATGTGAAGCCATATCAGGTTAATGGAGTGAACCCCACATATCCAGAGTCCCGCTATACCTCGGATTACTTTATTAGTAAGTTCATCTTCCACTCCTCTTTCCTGACCTTACTCATGATAATGGGGACCTGTGGACCTGTGAAGGGGGCCCTGTTCCAACTGATCTCAGACTCCTTCATGATAATTCCATAGAAAATAATAATCGCTCAAATAGAGAATCCTCTTTGTTATAGATTCTGTTACTTACTACAAAGGCACAAGGTTTCAACCATGTACATGTTGTATTAACCTGCAAGTTTCTACATGCTAGCTCTTGGTTAAGGAGCTCTGGTGGCACAATGGGTAAGCCCTTTGCTACTAACCACAAACTCATGCAGTTGTTCCAAAGGAGAAAGACCTGGCAATCTGCCTCTATAAAGAGTACAGTTCAGCCAAGAAAACTCTGTGGATCAGTTCTGTTCTGTCACATGGTGTTGCTCTGAGTTGGAATTGACTCAACAGCACACCACAACAATAAAGCTCTAAGATATCTTCCATATGTCATACATAGTACATCTGCTACAGAGAACATAGCATTTTGCTACTAAACTTTTCATCTTACTTGATCCTGTGCATGAAGGTGGCCATTAGAGGATTGGGTTAGGGATTTGATCTTGACCCTTGGTCTTTCCTTTTTTTTGTAAATTGTGTGGATGATAGTACCTGTTGCTGTCGTGTCTGTTAGGATCCATATCTAACCCAGGTGACAGAGTAGAATTGCCCCATAGGGTTTTCTTGACAATAGCTCCTTTGAAAAGCCATCAAGAGTGTGCCAGACAACTTCCAATTTTGTTAAAGAAAGTGAGCCTTTGACTTTGTAGTGTGAGATACCCAAGGCACATTGGAAAGAGAAACACCTGTAGATGTGTTTCCACCAGTGGAAGTCTTATAGTTCCTTTGTGTATGAACAAACCATGATTTGGAGGTCAACTCAACACTAGCTAACAACAATAACAACAACAAATGCATTTTGGAGATGTGGTCAGAGGAAGAGATTAAGTGTAGAAAAGTTTTTATCTGATGGCTTAGAAAGGGGACTTAAAAAATTGTTTTATTTTATTATTTTATTGTGATTTTTAACTCTACAGCAATATTGGCTACTATGTAGTAGTAGAGCAAGGTTAGCAACCTATCCCCTTCTCACGTAAATATTTTCCTGTTATTCTTTAAGGTAGCCCGTTTGTTCCACATGTTCCACTGCTGGTTTTAGGTAGAAATCGCTCTCTCCAGCTGCAAACCCTCTCTTTTTGCAGGTTATGGTATCGAGCATGCCCAATGCGTTCCTCCATCAGAATTCTCTGAGCCTAGCTTCATCACAGAATCCTATCAGACACTTCATCCCATCAGTTCTGAGGAGCTCCTCTCTCTCAAGTATGAAAATGACTACCCCTCAGTCATTCTCCGGGACCCTCTCCAGACAGACACCTTGCAGACTGATTATTTCGCCATCAAACAAGAAGTTGTAACCCCAGACAACATGTGCATGGGGAGAACCAGTCGTGGTAAGTCAGATTTAATCTCTAAAAACTCTTTTGAGTTTCCAAGAATTGCCTAACTTTGTGAATTTTCTCACTTACTGATTATGTATGTGACTCAGTTTCAGCATTTTCATCTTAGAGACATGTGCATATTAAGAACTTTCCATCATGGAATTGTAGCCAAGACCATAATAATGGACAAAAACCATGGGCTCATGTGAAATGAAATTTGGCAGGGATAAAACAGCAGGTTTCTTTACTCTGTAGTAACTGTAGTTGAATATAGTGGGCTATAAGGTATGTTTTATTTTCTTTGAGAGAGTTTTGCTCGATGAAGACATAATTAAATAAAAATGGTATGGGTGGTCTCTGGGAGCATCATTAAACTTTGCCTATCTTCAGTGTTCTTCCCAGAGCATCTGCAGGTTCTGCTTTGGTGCCTGGCAGTACCTCTGCTGCTCATCCTGGGAGCTATAGACTTCTGTGACTTCTTTAGTTTGGGAAGATGCAAGATGGTTAGCCAATAGTAATTTATTTGGAACCAGTCACGTGCACTGTGGTCCAAGTATTTAGCCAAAGAACCAGGGAGCAGAAATTCTAAAAGAAGGTTCTCTTTTTGACATAACTGATGATAATGATAGAATGTTTGCTGATGGCAAATGAAATGTTGCAAAATACATCTGGCTGATGTAAAGCAAAAAAGGTAAACAAAATACACCCAATTTTAAAATTAGACCATAAGCACTGAGGCATGCAGTACACTTAGGAAAGCGGTCATATCGTTTTTTGTTTTGTTTTTTTTTTGAGAAAACTGTAGTTCATCACAGGAGGGATTTATCCATTCAGGAAGTACTAGCTGGTTTCTAGAAAGTTGAGGAAGATGACTTTTCCATGGACTAACTGGGAACAGAAACAGAAGAAAGCTGATTAAAGTGTCACTAGGAAGTTCTTAGTAATAGAACACCAGGCAGGCATAGGTTGACCTGTTAATGACTTCTACTACTCCAAGACTGACCATGATCTCTCTTCTGAGGCTTTTAGAGAAGTACCAAAAGGCATCTTTACTTGGAACAATTATCGCTACACCTTCCCAGCCTCAAGTATTATGGGCCATACACTTGTTCACCTTTTGAAGTGTTCAGGCTCACACTTCCTCCCAGTAGTCCCTTGCCTAGGGAAAGTCCCCAGCAAAATCAGAACTTGTTATCTTCCCTCTCAGAGCCCCAGAGTGTTTAGGTCTCAGACAGAAGGGCATGGGTGGTACCAGTTTTACCTTCCCCTTTCTGTCACTCTTTTAAAAATATTTGGGTATATATATATTTAAATGGATACCTGTGTATTCTTATTTTTCAGGAAGGTCATAGCATTAAAAAGACTTTCTTGTGGTGCTGTAGGATAAACACTGGACTGCAAATTTTGTTCGAATTGCAAGGTGTTCAGCAGCTCCTTGGAAAACCTATATAGGGTCTTTATGAGTCAGCACTGACTCCAGGGCACTTAACAACAACATATCCCAAACCCACTGCCATGAATTAGATTCTAACTTTCATAGCAAACCTACGTAGATTTTACAAGATTGTAATTTTTTTTTTTTGACTTTAGAAAGCAGAGATTTATTCTCTCACAGTTTATTGTTGTCGTCGTCAAGTGCCATCGAGTCAGTTCCAACTCATAGCGACACTGTAGCGTTTCCGAGGAGTGGCTGGTGAGCTTGAACCGCAAACTTTGTTGAGTGGTTAAGGTTACGCACTTATTCTACAGTGCCTCATCAGGCCTCTTTTCACGGTTTATGAAGCTAGAAGTCTGATTTCAGGGTTCCAGTTCTAGAGAAAAGTCTTTGTCGTCTTTCAGCAGCTTTCCTTAGAGATCTCCATGTGTCTCGGGATCAGTCTTTCCCCGGATCTAGGACCTTCACAGAATCCTAGGGTGGCTCTGCAGGATAATACACTGCACTCCAAGGTCAATTTGAACTGCAAGGTCGGCAGTTCAAACCCACAGCTGCTCCTCATGACCCTGTCATAGGAAACTCTAGACAGGGTCACTATGAGTTGGAACCGACTGGATGGCGCTTAACACCAATAACAAGAGCTTTGTAGTGCAGGGGACTCCCGGGCTCAAAGGATTCACTTTACTCCTGGATCTTCTTTATTGGTGGTAGGTAGTTGGTCCCTCTCTCTCTCCACTGTAAATCGTTATAGGAATAGATCACCTCATCTTTTTCGTGTGGAATAGCTGATGGGTTTGAACTGCTGACTTTGTGGTTAGCAGCTCAGTGCCTACCATACAGCGCCACCAGGTCTCCATATACAGATAGATGTTGTTGTTGTTAAGTGCCATTGGGTCAGTTCTGACATAGTGACCCTGTATAGAGTTTTCAAGGAATGGCTGGTGAGTTTGAACCACTGACCTCGAGGTTCAAATGGACCTTACGATCCAGTGTGTATCCTATAGTGCCACATCAAGACTCCATACAGGTAGATAGCTGCAGATATATTTGTTATTGGGTGCTGTCGAGTTGGGTTTTTTATTCATAGGGAGTTCATGTGACAAAGTAAAATTGCCCCATAGGGTTTTCTAGGCTATAATCTTCATGGGAACAAATTGACAGGTTTCTGCTCTTACCCCATGGTTGCTGGGTGAGTTTGAACCTCCAGTCTTTGGTTCAGAGCTGAATGCATAATTTCTGTGCCACTAGGGCTGCTGAGGTTGGGCTCAGCCCTCTTGTAGCTGGGTAAATCCACTCTCATATTGTTCTTTCAATTGTACATGGCTTTGCAGTTGTGCAAAAGAAAGTCTCCCTGACTTTCCCTTGCTTCTTCTTTTTGGTCCTTATCATGCTGTCAACCCCAATGAATGATCATAGACCAAACAGTGACCCTTCTAAAGGGACATTGAGGTAATTCTCTCTGGCTCTCTTCCTCATTCCAAGTTTCAGGCCACACAAGGAAAAACTGTTTTGTGCAGGGCTACTTTTTGAACGTCTGCAAACAGGCTGTATTCCACAGGCTGATTAAGTCTGTGTTATTATGATTTGTTTAGATTGAAAGCTTTATCATTTTCTTTTTTAAAAAAACTCTTTATTGTAAATTGAGTGAAGGTTTGCAGACAAGATCATCAGCTTTACATTCAACAAATTATACACTTTGTTTCATCTCAGTGATTTCAATCTCCTCCTACCTGCAATGACTTCCTCACTATGGTTCCCCATTTATACTTTATATTTCACAAAATGAACAAAGCAAGAATATTTGATGTACATTTATAAAACAAAAAATCTGAATTCATTTAAATGTCCAAAGAGTGAAAGCCAGCCTCCTACCCACACACAGCCTTTCTCAGTCCATGGGCCTAGAGCCCGCAGCTGCTGTCTCTCCATGTCACCGCCTCTTCACCATTTCTGCTGTCGCTGCTTTTCTAGGTAGGGATCTCATATTCCACGCTTGAAAATATTACTGTTGACTGATTATTACAATAGTAACCTTAGTATTCATATAGTGTATTATAGTACACAACATATGTCTGTGTCCCACTTATTTGAACTCTAAGTATTATCTTTCTGCTGATCCTGCTCAGTGAGTGGATGTAGGACTATCTCATCTATTGCTTTTAAGTGCTGAAGTTCTGCTCAGAAGAGCCAGATGGCTTTGGAAAGATCTTGCTAAGGCATTTCTCAGAAAAGTCGGCTATTGGACATCTTTGAGGCTATATGCTGCCCTACATGGACACAGTAGCATAATTAGGTCTCTAGTCCAGTTTGTTTCAGCCAAGTCTTGGGTAAAATACCCATGAAAGTTCAGCATCAGGCTTATGACACAGAGCTAAAAGAAAAGCAGCCTACTGCTCTAAACTGACAACTCTCACCAGAGTTGCATTTGGCTTACGTTTAAGAAATTGCCAAAGAGAAGTTATAGCCAAGCTTAGTGTCCTTGCTTATAGAAAGTCCTTGGAAGCTCAATAATCTTGTTTGTGAAAATTCTGATCTTCAATATTTCTGAATATAAAAACAACTCATAAAGATAGAGTCTTTCCAGAGAGACTCAAGTATAACAACTGCCTAAATACCAATGACCTGGGATGATGTTCTTCTTGAAAATAAATCCTCTCTCTTAGGCTTTTGGAGTATGGACTTCGGAGAGAAATTGAATGCCTGTTAAGATTAATAGCTAGTATGATCAAACACCTTTTTATGAGATGTCGTGACATTTTCCATTCTTTTAAAAAGAGGCTGTGACGTTCATGTGAGCTGCTTTCTGAGTCATTGAATGTGAGTTTCTAGAAAGGACAATCTCTCCATTTCTAATAACAAGAAAGAGTAACAAGACTATGCACTGGATAGGCCAGGGTGATAAGTCTGTGAAGCTCTTGCTTCTGGAGATTACCTTTATTCAGAGGGATGACTGGTAATGAAAGGAAGCTTTTAAACAACCACCTTTATTCCATAATCAGTGATGGAAGAGGTCAAGAGAACACAAGAATCTAAAACTATGGATTAAAAAAATTAAAGGACTACATTTTATTTAGAATTATTAAGGGGCCATTGTCTAATTACTAAATACTTAGTTTTGGTTTGGACCCCTGTTCATGTTTGACTTGCATTGTTTTAACCCATCTTCATCACTATGTAGGAAAAAATCCATAGATGCACACCAGTATAGGTTGGCCAGGCCAGCCTTATTCTGGAATTTCAAATTTATGGTACATTAACTACCTATGAACCATTGAGAAGTTGGCTTACAGATATTTCTATATAAACTTGGCCACTTCATTTGGCCTGTTGACTTGTGTGACAGATTGAGGTTTCCATCAATTCACATGATTTAACTTAGGTTGCCTTAAAGGTGTCTAAAAGTAGCACATGGAAAACATTCTTGTGAACCTTTTCAGACCATGGATGCATTTATTTTCCTCAAGAATTTTGTGTTAGCCCACTTTGTTAATGGGCAGTTTTGCCAATGGAAATTTCTCCAGGAGCTATTGTGCAATCACAGCAGCTGTTTTTAACCTGGTTTGGAAAATTAATGAACTTTCGTGATACTGTGGTCAGCTAAGAATGCCTTAAAGCAAACTCTTAAAGTTAAGGGTGTCTGACATTACTGTGTACATTAACCCTTTATTCAACTTGTTTGCTTTTTATCACCCACCTTTCCTCAAAAGAAGTCTATTTTCAAGTGCAGCATTATACTTGGACAGGGTGAAGAATAAGGATGACTATTTAAAAGGCCACTAGTATTTCTCCCGGAAAACACATCTCATAACTTCTTTCTCTTCTTGAGAAGGCATAGAAGCAGGGCATGGATCTCAGTATTTGGGAAAAATGCTGAAAAATAACACTTTAGTTCTAAGGTTAAGGAAGGTCAATCTGCTCTTAGTCTAATGGAATTTTTTTCGTATGACCAAAACATTTTGCCAAATTGGGCCTTTTGAAGCCATCTCATTGGCTAGAGTTGGAAGAGGAAATTCAGCCTGACACTGCTCTGATTTCTTCAGCTATTCACTGGGTGTAAAACATTGTCCAGAAATGCTATATTAACGTGTGTTTCTCAGCTTACAGATTCTTGACATTGCTGTCTGTCTCTGACAGATACAAGCAGCATTCAACTCCAAATCTCTGTACTCAGAAAGAACTATAAAACCAGGCACATAGTGACACAGATTGTCACCCAGGGCAGCCATTGTCCATAGAGCAAATACTTGGCAGTTCATTTCCATTGGCTCCCTCCCTTCTTCTTTTCCTTACTGTGGATCTGATTACCAATCTGTCCTCGGATAAGAGGGTTTTTTACACTGTTGTTTCTCCCAACCCCTCCTCCCCTGTCCTCTTCCTACCTCCTCCTTTCCCTCTAGGTAAACTCGGGGGCCAGGACTCCTTTGAGAGCATAGAGAGCTACGATAGTTGTGACCATCTCACCCAGTCCTGGGGCAGCCAGTCATCTTTCAACAGCCTGCAGCGTGTTCCCTCCTATGACAGCTTCGACTCAGAGGACTATCCACCTGCCCTGCCCAACCACAAGCCCAAGGGCACCTTCAAGGACTATGTGCGTGACCGTGCAGACCTCAACAAGGACAAGCCTGTCATTCCTGCTGCTGCTCTGGCTGGCTACACAGGTAGGCGCCCTACCACTACCTAGGCTGCCCTGGTTGGTATATGTGCTTCTATGAACGGGGCAGCGAGGGCACTGTGTGCGTATATCCAGGAACTGAGAATCACTTTTTCCTTTTGGGGGAAGTGGGGAGGAGACTCAAAGAAGGGACAATTTCTGCAGCCATTGAATTTTTTGGAAGCAGATGGTATTATTCTGCTCCAAGGGGCCATTTTTCAGGAGAGGTAGGAAAAGCTATCTTTGTTTTTTTTGTTTTTTTTCTTTCACTTTTTCTCATATCTGGGGAAAGGGAACCATAAGGATTTGTTGTCCTTGGAAACTTCACCCAGTAGGCTAACTTCAGGGAACTTTTCCTGGATTGCCCTTGAGCAGTCCTTCTAAACATAAAACATAATAATAGCCCATCTTGAAGGCATAAGAATGTCCTAGACTCTAGATCGTTCTGTCATATAGTACTCATTAGACTAGTTGCTCAAATATCAGGAAAGTATCCTTAGTACCCTAAACTCTGTCTAGAGCCATCTTGCCCTATATAGGAAACCTTTTTATCCTACTGAGCTTTAATATCCTGTTAAGATTAAAGATCTGAAAGACTGAACGAGCAAAATTTATAGTAATGGTGCCTGAAGAAAGATCCTAGATAAAGGAAAGAGTAGCTTGAGAGCTTGGGTTTTGATTGAAAATTTAGAAACAGATCAAAACAGTTCATTCTCAAAATGGGTTATAGCATACAAGTATATGTTTCTTAAATTTGGGGATATAAGGAGCTCTGGTAGCGTAGTGGTTACGAATCGGGCTGCAAACCTTAAGGTCAGCGGTTCGAAACTACCAGTCGCTCCGCGGGAGAAAGATGAGGCTTTCTACTCCCGTAAAGATTTACACCCTCGGAAACCCTGTACAGGGTCGCTATGGGTCGGACCCGACTCGATGGCACTTAACAACAACAACAACAACAAAGAGTATATTAGAAATGTCCATGAAACTTTAATGTGTTAATTACCAGATTCTTTCTGTAAAATTGCAGTGTCGTCTAAAAACTAGAAAATGTGTTATGAGTGGAACTTATTTTAAGTTTTGATAACTCAGCTGTGGTTTTGGCCTCTGTTCTCTTGTATTTCCTCCACTCTGGACAGGTTACTATGTGGGGACTCAGTGTGGATTATGCTGAAACACAAATAGCAAAACATGTGCTTCCACTGAGAGGCCTGATCTTAAGAGTATGCTAGACCATTGTTCTTGCATTGAGGGCATCTAATTTTTTTTTACAAGGAGGATCAACTGACATATAAGAACAACTCAAATTCTTAGATTATTCTTCCTTTAAGGATAAGGAATGTGGCTTTTCTGTTGCATTCTACATAGCCTCTCTTGCAGCTCATTGCATGAAGTACTCAAGAAGTATGTCTATGTTTTGGGTGTCGTGACAAGCTCTGTATAAGAGCGGAGATCCTCATTTCATAGAATCAGAGTTGCTAGGCCAGAAAAAGACCTTAAGATCTCCTGCATTCTAATGACAATATGCCCATGGCCACTGCTTCAGTATCTCTAGTATGTGGGCATTCACTACTTTTCAAGGAAGTCCTTTCCCATCTGTGGACAGCGATTACTAGAAAATTTACTTATTTCTTTTGAAGACATCTGTAGTGAAGGAAAGCACATTAAGTCTCTCAGGAGATACAGTGCTAACTCTCTAGATAATTTAAGAACTAGATTTTAGTTGAATATACTGATGAAGGAAGAGAAGGGAAAGAGCAAGGTAGCTCTAAAATGTGGACTTGGGAGGTCTTTGGCAGAGTAGCTCTGAACTTTCTGTTCTTGTGGTGCAGGGTAAACAGTGCTCTGTCAGTTGCTCAAGTGTAAGCTCTTCCACCCTCATTTCCAGTAATAAATCTCAACTTAGTTTCTCTTTGTTTAATATAGTCCTTTCTTCTCCCTAATACAATTGCTATCCTTAACCACCATGGATGTTAACAATGATAATTCTCCAATGACAGCTTTCATGATTTTCTCTTAGCCATGTAGGCATGGGAAACTGAAAATGTAGCTAGTTAGGACAGTTCAGTGGATAATGAGGTTAAGTGAACTGACTTTGAGTTCTAAAGTGTGGCTTTTGTTCAAAGAAAGCCATAAAGTTTATGATCTAGGAGCAACTTTCATGGGTGAGATTCTAGTAATCCACGGGCACACTGAGAAAGGTCTTTCTAGAAATAGCTAAAGCCTGGTCTCCACCCCAAATGGAAACTCCCCTGGTGGTGGTGTTAATTGTGTTGTTGGTAAGTGTTGTCAAGTAGGTTCCACTCATAGCAAACCTGTACAGGGTTTCCAAGGAGCAGCTGGTGGGTTTGAACCACCTACCTTGTGGTTCTCAGTCCATTGCTGATCCTACAGTGCCACACCAGGAATCTGTTCATTGTTTTAGTTATTGGATTTTCTATATGAGAGAAGTAATAAAACCTGCAGAACTAATAGTCTGCAAGAGTAACGAAAATATTTTAGCTAAGAATCATAACATTTTGGCTTAGATACTCATAGTACCATGAGGAGGATTATCTGAGACTTGGAGAATCTTTCCCAGAATATACCAGTTTCTTGAAGCTCTTACTAAGGAAGAAGAAGGAAAAGGGATGTGTTGGAAATTCTAAGAACTGAGAATGAGCATGCTGTATAAATTAGGGATATGAATTGTCATTAAGATAACCAACACTAAAATGCTGCCTTGAAGGCTTCTTTGCAATTCAAATACAAAGCCAAATGCTCTTTTTAACACACACCCAGAATTGTCTGGAATGATGTTATGTGTGATATCATGTACTTTTTTGGAATAGATTGTTTAATAGGTGTTCTTTTTCCCTTCCTTTTTTCTTTATTCTTTTCTTTTTTTTCCTCCAAAGACCTGTTGCTGTTGAGTCAATTCCAACTCATGGTGACTTATATTAGAGTAGAGCTGTATTTCAGAGGGTTTGCAGTGATTGGAATCTTAGACGTTAACAGCTTTCTGTGTCACCACTGGGTAGAGTCTTAAGTGCTGCACATTGTTTGCACCACCTAGGCATTTTTTATTTCACTCTAAGCAGGGGAAAAGGAAATAAAATACTCAGTAAGTTGAAGAAATGGAAAAGTAACTATTAAATAAAGATCTCCAAGACAGGCATGTTGTTGTTGTTAAGTGCCATTGAGTCTGTTCCAAGCCACAGTGACCCTGTATATGGTTTCCAAAGAGCTGCTGATGAGCTTGAACCACTGTCCTTTTGGTTCAAACCAACTTTGCTGTCCAACGCGCTAACCCCCAGCAATAGACATAGTCATTTGAATTAAAAACCTCTTACCATATTTCATTTTCATATTAAGGATTTAGCTTTTCATACTATCTCAAATGGTGATGAGAAGAATAGCCCAGAAAACAGAAGTCCTCTGTGTGCACCCTCCCAACTCTTAACACACTATATGATTTTAGGCAAATTTACCTTGTGTTTTGTCTATAGTTAGTGAAGTACAAGTGTTCATCCTTATCTTTGTGAGAAGAACGCCATGAAAATGTAATAGAATTAAATGTATTTATTAAATAAATGAGTGCCAGACAGCATGTGAAACAGAAAAACCTGCAATTATGACAATTAATTCGGCAAATATTTGTAAGCACATACTAAGTACAGCTAAATGGGAGTAGCCCTTGAGGGTTTATTGTCTTGTTGAATTCCAGATATTATAAATGTTCTTAGACTTGAAGGATTCCCTTCTTGTCGTTAGGTCATTGAAGATTGGTTTTGTTAGGTAATTGAAGGACAGCCCAAATATTGGTGGCTTCTTTTCTCTGTACAGCTCCTGCCAGCAGTACACACTGAACTGATGTGGGATTCCCTGACTCTTGCACCGTAGTGTGGCCCCTTCTCATTGTAGATATAGTCCTAGGGCATGAGGAAGGGTATGGAATATACCCAATCAGCTCCTCTACTGCCTGAGAAGCAGACGGTGCCTGCAGAGCCCTAAATGGGCCTCCACTAATTATGTAGACATACTAAGACTAGTTCGAGTTGGTGGGACGCTGTGGGTTAATGCACCAGACTCCAAGGTTAGCATGAACCGTAAGGTTGGTGACTTGAGCTCACCAGCTGCTCCTCAGAAACCCTATACAGGGTCGCTATGAGACAGAACAGATTCAACAGCATTTAACAACAGCAGCATTAAGATTAGGTGAGGTTTAGAAAAGTTCTTGGCAAACTGGAAATCTTTGTACAGTGTTAGCAATACTTTTTTATTGTTTGTGAAGGTCATACTTACATTGTTTCTCAGGTTCTGCTCTCCTTTTCTGTCTGTTCATTTAATATCAGATTGCTCTAGGGCATGTATGGCCACACAGTAGGAGCACTAATGCCTTTACATCTCGGCTACTTGGCATGAACAAAAGGGTGCATGCTTGGATTTTCGTAGCTGAGAGGACAGTCCATCTTTTGGATATCATACTAATAGCCCATTTCTTCCTCCGTATCACCTTCAGAGGTTTATATTTTACTTCTTCATAGGTCTTAGTTACTGCACTGTAAGTGTGGAAATCAGTTAGAAACTGAATTTTCACATTCTCTTGCACAGTTACGTTCTTCCTTCAAAGATAAGAAAATTGCATCAACCTTCTTTGGGCTCCCATGGCAACTTGTTAAATTAGGTCAAGATGTGGGGGCAGATAACATGGCTTGAAAGCCTGCTTGTGAGCTGAGTTAAGAATACATCAAATGCAATGCTCGCTTCCGCCAAAATGTACCTTCTTACCTTACTGTGAACTGCTTACGGTTATCAAACTGATACAATCAGAAAATTCTATTTTCTCTTGTTCGAAGATGCATTATAAAGACCATTTAATTACAAAAGAAGTGCGAGAAGAGTGGCCCATTGTTTTCTATATATTTCATAAACCCAAGGAGAATGCTTTCTAGATCCTGATAAAACATAGACATCTCTGCTTTGTTTGTCTTGTGTAGTTTTAGTTGTTGTTAAGTACTGTGGAGTCGG